GCACACACTCTTCACTACACAAACACCTCCTACAACATCCACTCTGACTGCTGTGTTTGTGGAAACACTCCAACACACACCGCTTCACATATGAACATGTGTGTGAAACACTGATGACATTAAACATGATGGAGGATTTATTCACAAACACACAACAACATTTACACACACATTACCTCTGCAGGACAACACACGCCTGATTTAATGATTTTCATTTACTGCTGTTTCTGTACAAAGCAACACTTTGTTTCTATTCTGAGTTACTTTGTTTGTTGGATTTCAGTCGGTTTCTGCTTTAATTCATGTTAGAATCAAATGTTTTTCACTTCCTGTTTGCTGAAGTGGATTTTCAGCTGTTTCCAAACCAAAGGCTTGTTTTAAAGAGACAGTTTCACTGGGATTGAGGAACGACGTGTTTGCAGTTTCTAAAGAGTTCATGTTGCTAACATCTCAGCGCTCTGCAGCAGACGCAGGCTGGACTTTAAAATGAACGGGACCATCTGCAGACCAGGTCCAGCAGGGCTTCCACAGATCCTGTTAGAAAACGTGCTTTGCATTTGCTGCAGCCACAGAAGCTGATGAAGACTTCAAATATCTCCATCATCCCAAAGAAAAACTGGTTTGCAGGCTGAGCAGGAGGAGAAGGAAACTCCAAACTAGTCCAGTCATTCACAGTGTGCAGGAATATTGATGGTCCTACTGGGATCAGCACCAGTTTAAATGTTTCACATGTTTTATAGGATAAAGGAATTCCTCTGGGTCAGTGGAAGGGAAGGCTGCGGATGAAGATGCTTACAGCTCAGATACCAAACACATGGACTCAATCATTAGATTTAGATTATATTAGGTGAAACTTTATTTATCCCTCGGGTGGGTTCCTCCGGGAGATTCAGTTTCCACAGCAGCCACAGCAGAATGTGAGCGAGAGACATGTGTAGCAGATGTGAAATGGTCGACTGTGTTGTGACGACAAACACGGACTGGCTGGAAACTGGGTTTATTTCTATAAGACAAAGTGCAGCAGCAAAATCAGTGTCACACAGCGGCAGCAGGCTTCTCCTCACCCCAGTGTGGAGTCCGTACAGCTCTGGCTAGGAAACCCCACACCCGCAACGTGGCCGCAGGTGGCGTTACACTGATTAATGTCCCACTTCAACAATGACACACGGAACCTTAGTTCCACAAAAATTAAGTTCACACAATAAAAAAATATAACCTATGTACAATACAGTTTTGAGAATGTTCACAATTCGTACATTATATCTCAGCTACACATGTATAAATACATATAACAGGGATAAACATGTGAATCAGTCACAGAGAGCTTGGACCAGAGTCTAGATCTGCAGGAGCAGTTTGTAACTGGAATCCTTCAAATAAAAGACTAGCGTGACAACATCAAGCACTTCAGTCTGTTGCTTTATGGGAAATAGAAGACACAGCAATATACACACAGTTTCCAGAGCACATTCATTTGTGACTCACAATCCAAGGATAGACATAAAAACCCAGATATAAATCTGTCTCCGTCCGATTTAGTTAGGGGGGGGGGGGGGGGGGGGGGGGGGGGGGGGGGAAAAAAGGGGGGGGGGGGGGAGGGGGGGGGGGGATCCTGTCTGTGTCAGCAACAAGTTCACCCTGAAGGAACTTATCCAGGCTAACCGATATTTCTTCAGCTGCAGTTCTGATCAATACAGTTTCACTCATTTCTAATATCTCAGTATCATTCAAATTGATCCAGTTTATTGTTGAATATTATTGTTGTTTATTCCAAATAAACAGGGACCAAACCAGTCAGAAGTGAGGAATTAAAATCCAGACAAAATGTCCAGATTCATAAACATCCTGTAGGAATCTCACAGAAGGATCTGCACACTGACAAACAGGCCATGTTGGATTTACTTGATTCAATAGTGGACACTGGTTGCACACAAATGTTTTGCTTTGGCAGTGTTGGGGGAAAACTCTGTAAAAAACCCAGGAGAAATAAAGACACAATGAGACAAAGTTACTTTCTTTGCTAAACGTGTACACGGGTGAGCTGCTGAGAACAACTCACACCGTGAACAGAGGCTTGGCACTTTTTATAGAAAAGACAGTGAGAACAGGATAAGAAAATAATAAACAGATAAAATAAACAACTCCATATGTGGCGCTAGTCTCGTCAGCAGAGAGCTGTGAGAGAGCTGTGAGAGATAAAACAATCTAAAACAATATGTCCCAAAACAATATGTCTTTGCTGGGAAAGTCTAAAAGGATAATTCTAAACTAATCTAACCATAGACAAAGGGCAGAGAAAAGGCATCTTTGTACATTTAAAAGAAGGTAAAGAAACATAGAATCATTTTCCACTAACATTCCCTCCTGTTTTAACTTATTTTAAATGTATACAACAATTGTCTGTGAAGGTTATTTATTAAGTATCTTTAGCAATTTTTTAATGGTCAAAATGTCAACAAAGCAGAAATGTAAATCATGTGGCCTAAAGAATAAAACAATAAAAGAATAAAAGAATTAAGGAAGACACAGTAAAAGAAAATATAAAAGTAATAATGAAGAAAAATAATAAAAACTAAAACTACAAAAAATTAAAATAAAAGAATAAGAAAACCTTATGTTGTACCTGTATAAACTACTAATGTGTTAATCAGTGCATGATCACTTGACAAGTCATTTTTAATCACCACGTCATTTATTAGCAGCTATTACAAGTTCCTCTAACAGAATTGCAACGGGATGCTGTTCTTCTTGAGGCACGGCAACATAAGCAGTCATTGTAGTTGTTATCATCTTTGAAATCATTACTCTTAGACATGGCAACACACACAACACTAATATGAGCAGTGCTATCATGATGAAACCTAGAAGGACAAACGGTTTTGCTACAGCAGCCAGCCATGGACCGCCGAACAGCCAGTCCAGCCAGCCTTGTGCTGTAGCTGCTCCAGGTGTGTGGTCAGTGAGATATTGTTGCAGAACGGTCAAATTCTGCAAAGCTTCATAAATGTCTCCTCCAGCTTCGTATCCATCAGGGATAAAAGTGCAACATGTCTCCCCGATCAGCTTGCAAACTCCTCCTTGTGATGCTGTTAGCAGGTCCAGGGTCAGTCTGTTCTGCAGCACCATCGTTCTGATGGCCTTCTGTTCTCCTGCTAAGGCCGTTCCCAGGGTCTTAGTTAAGTTGATGTGTCGTAGCAGAGCATATCGGTTGATTTCCACGTGATCCCGCACCTCGGCAACTCCAATGCCGGGGATCAAGCTCTGTAAGAATTTCACTCCTCCTCCCCAGATGCGAAACTCTCCCGGCACTCCAGTGTCCACTGTAATGCCGAAAGAATTGGGTGAGGCGATGTCCACTTCACGTCTCTGTCGGCTGCTTGGGTGATGTGCAACACGTTGCATGAAGAAGACGTGATCTGATAATTGCACCAGGGCGCACAGACCCCCCCAACCTTCAGGGAGTGACAGATAAGCCTTATTGCCACATAGGAAGTACCAGTCAGCCAAAACTCTGGTTCCTCTACTGCTGGGTGCCGTCCGTGCACATCCTGTCTGGTACTGAGTCTTTGTTTGTAGTGGCATTCGGTAGCTGTAGTCGGGGCGACAGTTGAGGCTCATCAGCGTCGCGTTACTGGCACAGGTTTCGTTGATTGAACAGGCCATACACTTCCTCTCATTCCTCGGTGGGCAGAAAGTGTATATGTACTTACATAGGTGTGTAGGCAGCTCCCCCACTGCCCGCGATCCATTGTTCATCACACATACTGGCAGTTGTGATGCGTTCAGTTTGTTCAGTAGAATTACATCAGGCAGTGGGTCTGAGACTTGGGGCCAGGTCAGTAGGTAGGTCTGTCCGGAACAGTGCACATTCGTGAGTGACGATGACCTCCAGGTTGCTTTAGCTGGGATGCTGTAGTTGGCCTTGGACCAAAGAGTACCGTAGCCTGGATGTGTTGCCAGGCCCAACAGGCACCAACTGCGATCTTCAGGTATGCTGTACGGCCACAGGCCAGACGTCTGTGAGGATAGGGGCATATGGGTACATGCATAGCAGTCAGTTTTATTATTCAGGTGAGCTGTAGTGTTCATAAGCTGCCACCAGAAGTTAGTGGCGTAGCCATGGGGAAACTTGGTGTACTTTCCTTTGTCATACAGTGTCTGCCTTTTCTTCAGATAGCGTGACTTGTTGTCCCTCACGGAAGCAAAGATGAGGAGCCCGGCCAGGGTCAGGGCCGCTGCAGTTATTAGGAGCCACCACCTCATGACAACAGGACACACCCTCCTGTCGTGAGTAGACCCCCCGGCCAGAAAGGCTGTTCCCTCCACCGGGCGAGATCACAACAGTTGGGCGAGCCTGTGTCGACTGAGTTTAGATGGCTTCACTTACTCGCCTGCAGGGACTCTGATGGATCCAGGATGGTCGTTCCGCAATTTTGCAAGCGGTGGGCGTGGTGAGGAGAACCTGATGTGGTCCCTCCCACCTGGGTGCGCTCCAGTTTTTCCTTTGGAGCACCTTGATCAGAACCCAGTCACCGGGCTGTAATCTGCAAGACACTTGATAGACATCATTACATTCTTCGTTATTTACAATCATCTCTTTATTTTCCTACAACTTAGACATACATTTTGCTACTGAAATTGTATCTGCCTTTTTCACTGGGTAGATTTCTGGCCACTTTGAGAATACATCTATAACCACTAGGGCGTATTTTTACCCTTGGCATTCATTTAGCTCAATAAAGTCCATGTGGATTGTGTGAAAAGGGTGAGGTTTTTGACACGTCATGCACGTTCTGACAAATTGTTTTGCTGAAGTTTCAAAATTTACAGTGTAGAAATGAGAGTTGACAATACAGGTCAGTCCCCCCGTTGACAAATGCGTACAGCCATGAGTCACTAATGCCGCCATTTTGTGGAGGAATTTTGGCAACACTGGCTTGCCATAACACATCATTAAGTCGTTTGTCAGAACTGCTCCGTGTTTTAGCCATTTTGCCTGCTCTGCTGTGCTTGCTGCTTTTTGTTCATTTTGCAACACATCCAGTGGAATCTGATGTGTGTTTACTGCCATCAATGTGATGTTTGTCTTTTGTGCCGCCTGTTTTGCTGCTCTGTCAGCAAAGTTATTGCCTGTAGCAATGAAAGAGGCGTTGTAAGAGGTTGGCATGCTGAACTGGTTTTCCGGTTGGTGTAATCATTCCTCTGGTTTTCCAAATTTTTTGCAAAATGATGCACAGCAGAGAAAACATACTGGCTGTCTATATAAATGGTTATTTGTTTATCTTTGTGTATTTCACATGCGCAAATCACAGCTAACAGCTCAGCGCTCTGTGCAGAATATGAACAAGAAAGTGGTTTTGCTTCTATTATTCTACTATCTGTGGTCACTGCGTAACCTACACAATTTCGGCCTGTGCTGTAAGGTCAAGTGCTGTTCTCCTAGCTTCCACACTTGCTGATCATAAGGTGGATCTGGGCCTGGAGTTTGTTTAAATCTCAGAATGTTGTGATACTCGGTCGGTTTCTGGAAAGTGGATGTGGCGGGTGTCATTTAGCATGCACTCAGGTGTAATACCAGAAAAGAATGCCATGACTGCTATCTTAAGTTTTGTCAGAGCGTCTCTACCTAGCAAATTTACTGGACACAACGGGTCATATGCATTTAATAAAGCACCTGCGGCCACTTGCTGTATGTACTAGTTCTAAAGGGGCAGTTAATTGTTGTACAGTTGTGTGGCCTGCAGCTGACTTTACAACTAATTTGTCCTTTGAAAACTGTAAGTTCTTAAGTGGCTGCCTCAAAACTGTTTTGCATTATTTCTCTGTGGCCTACTCCTACAATCTCGTGTGAAGTGACCTTCCTCTCCACGGTTCTAGCAGGCGTTGTCTCTATGTTATCTGCTGTTTCTGCGTGGCTGTCTGCAGCCTTGGTGTTTGTGACTTTGCTCGCCTCTCTGTTCCTGATAGCCACCTGCGAATTAGTGTTTTAGTCTATTGTCAACACGTCAGCCTTATTTTTAAGTTACAGAATGCTGCTTCTTTTTTTGTCTTGGTTTGGGAGAATAGATGCAACACTACATTTTCACTTAAGGCATTTTTAGATAATTTCTAGTTTTTCAAACAAGTCATGGATCTCACACATTTCAAACTTTCAAGTTAGGGTTGTTTCCCATTTATACATATATATATTTAACTTTTTTTTTTTTTTTTTTTTTTTTTTTTTTTTTTTTTTTTTTTTTTTTTTTTTTTTTTTTTTTTTTTTTTTTTTTTTTTTTTTTTTTTTTTTTTTTTTTTTTTTTTTTTTTTTTTTTTTTTTTTTTTTTTTTTTTTTTTTTTTTTTTTTTTTTTTTTTTTTTTTTTTTTTTTTTTTTTTTTTTTTTTTTTTTTTTTTTTTTTTTTTTTTTTTTTTTTTTTTTTTTTTTTTTTTTTTTTTTTTTTTTTTTTTTTTTTTTTTTTTTTTTTTTTTTTTTTTTTTTTTTTTTTTTTTTTTTTTTTTTTTTTTTTTTTTTTTTTTTTTTTTTTTTTTTTTTTTTTTTTTTTTTTTTTTTTTTTTTTTTTTTTTTTTTTTTTTTTTTTTTTTTTTTTTTTTTTTTTTTTTTCTTTTGTTTCCCATTTATACATATATATATTTAACTTTGCATTGCTCACAGCTCATAGCTCACAGCTCTAAACCTAGGCATTTTCCAATCATATGCCTAATCACTGTGTCACTGTGATTCTCAAGTATTGTCACAAGTTCGTTTAAATTTGTTTCCAAAACCAACAAAATAATCAAACAAAAACAAAAACATAAACGTGTCAGGACACAAAAGAAAAAAGAAAAAATGCTGCCACCCGAACAAGGCAGAAGTCTGCATATGTTGGCTTTTAATAGCATGCAGCTTGTAACATGGTAGACTAATGTGCCTGTGTTAATTCAGCTCCATATTATTGTGTCAAGTTGCACTGGGTTGGGAGTGGTTTTGTGTGTGTCACATTTTTGGTGAGCCAATGGCTGGAATGGGGTTGGACTAATTAGAGGCAGGTGTACTTGATTGCACTGATACACTGGTCTACTTATAGCCCACACTACAAACACTGCTGTGTCGTTTTGTCTCTCTGTGCAGGTATGTAATGTGATGCTCAGCGCTCTGCAGCAGACGCAGGCTGGACTTTAAAATGAACGGGACCATCTGCAGACCAGGTCCAGCAGGGCTTCCACAGATCCTGTTAGAAAACGTGCTTTGCATTTGCTGCAGCCACAGAAGCTGATGAAGACTTCAAATATCTCCATCATCCCAAAGAAAAACTGGTTTGCAGGCTGAGCAGGAGGAGAAGGAAACTCCAAACTAGTCCAGTCATTCACAGTGTGCAGGAGTATTGATGGTCCTACTGGGAGCAGCACCAGTATAAATGTTCCACATGTTTTATAGGATAAAGGAATTCCTCTGGGTCAGTGGAAGAGAAGGCTGCAGATGAAGCTGCTTACAGCTCAGATACCAAACACATGGACTCAATCATTAGATAGATTCAGATTATATTAGGTGAAACTTTATTTATCCCTCGGGTGGGTTCCTCCGGGAGATTCAGTTTCCACAGCAGCCACAGCAGAATGTGAGCGAGAGACATGTGTAGCAGATGTGAAATGGTCGACTGTGTTGTGACGACAAACACGGACTGGCTGGAAACTGGGTTTATTTCTATAAGACAAAGTGCAGCAGCAAAATCAGTGTCACACAGCGGCAGCAGGCTTCTCCTCACCCCAGTGTGGAGTCCGTACAGCTCTGGCTAGGAAACCCCACACCCGCAACGTGGCCGCAGGTGGCGTTACACTGATTAATGTCCCACTCCAACAATGACACACGGAACCTTAGTTCCACAAAAATTAAGTTCACACAATAAAAAAATATAACCTATGTACAATACAGTTTTGAGAATGTTCACAATTCGTACATTATATCTCAGCTACACATGTATAAATACATATAACAGGGATAAACATGTGAATCAGTCACAGAGAGCTTGGACCAGAGTCTAGATCTGCAGGAGCAGTTTGTAACTGGAATCCTTCAAATAAAAGACTAGCGTGACAACATCAAGCACTTCAGTCTGTTGCTTTATGGGAAATAGAAGACACAGCAATATACACACAGTTTCCAGAGCACATTCATTTGTGACTCACAATCCAAGGATAGACATAAAAACCCAGATATAAATCTGTCTCCCGTCCGATTTAGTTTGATCCTGATCTGTGTCAGCAACAAGTTCACCCTGAAGGAACTTATCCAGGCTAACCGATATTTCTTCAGCTGCAGTTCTGATCAATACAGTTTCACTCATTTCTAATATCTCAGTATCATTCAAATTGATCCAGTTTATTGTTGAATATTATTGTTGTTTATTCCAAATAAACAGGGACCAAACCAGTCAGAAGTGAGGAATTAAATCCAGACAAAATGTCCAGATTCATAAACATCCTGTAGGAATCTCACAGAAGGATCTGCACACTGACAAACAGGCCATGTTGGATTTACTTGATTCAATAGTGGACACTGGTTGCACACAAATGTTTTGCTTTGGCAGTGTTGGGGGAAAACTCTGTAAAAAACCCAGGAGAAATAAAGACACAATGAGACAAAGTTACTTTCTTTGCTAAACGTGTACACGGGTGAGCTGCTGAGAACAACTCACACCGTGAACAGAGGCTTGGCACTTTTTATAG